TTATGATGAATCCAAAGACTTAGGCAGTCAGTTGCCTGCAACCTCAGATAGTAACCAACCTGTAGAATCGGGAAGCAATTCCCTTCTCTGCAATCGTCGGCCACCTCCTGTGCCTGATAGGCTGCCTTTAAGTCGCAACAGATCTGCCATACTCACCAACCCGCACTTGCCCAACAACGCAGTTGCATTCCCTAACAGGGTTCTTCCTAATGTTCCCAACAACCCGCCTCAGTTGCCTAGCAGATTAAAAAGGCCCCACAGCAAGACTGACTTGTCCGTAATACACAAGAGAAGGACTGCATCAACTGACAGCCAGTCTCCCACGCCTATGGTAACCAACAGCAACACTGCATTACCAATCAGCCAACCCCCTTCACTCCAGGCCAACCTCATTCAGCCAACCAGCCAACCCCCTTCAAGTATCCAACCAAGCCCCATTCAGCCAACCCCCATTCAACCAACCCCCATTCAGCCAACCAGCCAAACCCCTTCAAGTACCCAGCCAACCCCGTTCACTCCAGGCCAACCCCCTTCACTCCCTACCAACAAAATGCCGGTACCCACACCCGAACAAAAAGAAGAAATTTACGAAGCAATTTCCAAATATCCAACAGATTTATCAAGTTTGAGCATTACTGATGTGAGCGCGTTATTGAATTACTTAGGAATGCGAAATTATGTTGAAACATTTGAAGCAGAGTTGATAGACGGTGCTATGTTGGCCAGCATGGACAAAGAGAGTTTGGAATCATTGAATTTAATTCCATTCCATGTTACAAAATTAATGAAGTTTATTGGAGGTTGGCGACCGAATTCCAAAATACGATTAAAAAAATGATGCTGAACTATTCAAATATTAACTTTAGAATATTACAATACAGTGAAACGGACTATAATTAAGAACGCATTATTTCAGTTGAAGATACCTACAGCAGATAAATTTTAAATAAATTGAATTAATAACTATACTTAATAACCGAGAACGAGTTCTTTATGGGAAAATATTAAATCGAGGTCTTGCCGTATTGACCAAGCGATAACGAGGTCAATACGGCAAGACCGAAGTTTAATATTTTACCGTAAAGACCGAGCAGTTGAGGTTAATAATAATAACATTTATATAGCGCCTATACTAAAATGTTCTAAGCGCTTTACAAAATTAAATCTAAGTTACAGTTTAATGAAATCATTAAGTTATTTACAGATTGATGAAATGATCAGATAAGCAACTAAGTAATTAAGTAATTAAGTAATATATATTTATATAGGCTATATAAAATGTTGTGGGGTATAAAATAGTTGTTTAGTCAAGTTTAAACGCTAGTTTAAAAAGATAGGTTTTTAATTTAAATTTAAAAATATCAAGGTTAAAGCAAGACCTTAGGTCTAATGGTAAATTGTTCCATAACATTGGTGCTGAGATTGTAAACGATTTTGTCCCATAAGATTGAAGATTGAATCTTACTTGTTTTAATAAAAAAGCAGACGAAGAACGAAGAGTTCTTGAGGCAGTATAGTATTCAATCATCTCTGTTAAATACTTTGGTGCAAGTTCATTTAAGGCTTTAAAGGTCAGCAGGAGTAATTTAAATTTAACTCGATATTCACCAGGTAACCAATGCAAGTTAATTAACACCGGCGTAATATGGTCGTATTTGCAGAACTGGGTTATAAGTAGCGAGGCAGCATTCTGCACATGTTGTAGCTTTTGTGGTTGGAACTTGGGAACCCCATAGAGTAAGGAGTTACAATAGTCCAATTTGGAACTGATAAAAGCATGAACAAGGATTTCGGTAGATTTCGGAGTTAGAAATTTCCTTATTCTTGCAATATTCCTCAAGTGATAGAAGGCTCCTTTGGAAATAGAGTTAATTTGTGTTATTATAGTCATGTTTTTATCAAAGATCACGCCAATATTCCTTACCATATCTGAGGGAGTAATAATATCATATCCACAGTTTAGAGAAAACACTAGTGATGGGCGATAGCGAGAATGGATAACCAGGAGATCAGTCTTATCTCCATTAAGTTTGAGTTTGTTTAACAACATTATTATAAGGCATCATTGAGTTTTCATATTAAAGTTAAACAGGCGATGTAAATTTTTACTTCCATTTCCGGCATGCGTCATGATCACAGAGGCCACTAAAGCTGACCAATCACATTGCCAAACAGGGCCTTCGCTATAGGGAGGAGGGAGGTGGGGTGTGACACCCCCTGAAAACATTTGGTTTGCAAAATAACGGTTTATTGGCAAATATTCGAGTGCTTCGGATTGAAAAGTAATAGTTATAGCACAAATTTTGATAAATGTACGAAAATTACTGAAAAATTACGGTACATTAAATGCGAAAGTTAGTGAAAAATGGTATGTACGGAAAAATGTTTTACCTTCCCCCGCCATGATTATGAAAATGCCGATTGTGAAAAGCACAAAAGTTCAGTGGATAACCAGAACGACCTTCCTATGAATGTTTCGATATACTATGGTTCACGATTTTAGAGTTGTGCACCAAAAGAAAAGACTTTAATTTAATCAGCCTAGTCCCAGTCGTTCTGAAGCAAGCGCGAATAAAAACCACGGATAAAGTATGAGACTGGGACCTAGGGCTAGGTGTGATGTCACAGCTGAAGGTGCTTCAGCACAGCACACCCAGGCAACAGGTGAGAAATTTGTCGTCGCTGACCAAAAAATCGCGGGCAGAAACAAAGCTCATTGCATTTACATTCAAAACAAAGCAGAAAGTTAGCAAGAAGCTGTTTTAGCTGACGATTTTTTGCTTTCCATTCAACGGTTTAACTTTATTAATTTTACAAATTAACGGTTATTCTTTTAAAAGTCGACTATGAATTCTTTGGTTTGGGATGATTTGTTTTGTAATCGAGTGATTGGAAGAAGTTAATATGGCGACGTGAACATGGGAATAAATACCGTATACGTCGATCTGTGGCTTGTTTAAAACCGTAATAAACGAAGAAAGACCTGATATGAGAATGAAATGTGAGTTGAAATTAACTTTATACGCCTCAAATTTTCCATCCTATGTTTCTTAATGTAACTTCAGCTGTCTATAAGTTCAAAATACAAGCTCGCGAAATTTGACAAATTTTGAAAATATGTAAAAATAGCTTGACTTTGAACTGTATTTTCTCAAAAATAGCCCGTGGCCTCAATTTCAAATATAGGTAAATGAAAAGACAAAACTTTTAGGTGTTTGTAGGTATCAAACATATCGTCAGGAAAATAGGGGCTCACAATGTTTTAGCTGAGTCTTTGAGACCCAGTTGCTTCGCACATGTTGTTGTCAAATTTTTGCCAAGAATCAAAGGCCAAAATGTGAACTTTCTTCATGAAAACCGCTTCAAGAAGGGTCTAGTTTGAAAATTTCGCTATTAATTTCGATTTCATGAGTATATCTTGATTACACGTTAAATATTTTTGTACTTGATAAGATTCAAAATTTGTTGTATATTCAAGCCCGGCTTTAGTGTAATTTTGGTGATGGCCGGAACAGAAATAAAGATATTTTAAAACTGGCCGTGGCCTCACGATAAAACATTCTAAAAATGTTCGCTGTTTCATGTATTTTTATTTGATATCTTAGGTATAAGCGTAAAAATAGGGGCTCATACAGTTTACGAGGTTGTAAAATGCATGACTTGCCTCTATTTTCATGTAAACATTCGAAATTTTTCGACAGCAAAGTAGCAACTGTTTCAGATCGAATGCACACGGACAGTCCACCAGAGTACTGAAATAGAACGTCACTAAAAAATCCTGTATGATTAATTTAGATCATGTCCATTTTCAACATAAAACAGTCATTTATTTTGTACAAACATTTGGCAATATTTACACGATTGTGCCTTTTTGTAAACACGCGTTGCGTGTATTCCACGCAATTGTGTGGCTCATTTTGCTCACGCATGCTCAGACAAATTTCCCACCTGTTCACCCAGGCATAAAACTTATTCAATAAATATATCGAAGCAGCGTACAGAGAGAGCGAGCCTGGGACTAGGCTGGGCATTAATTAAACTAGCAAGAAAGTCCAGAGTTCGATACAATGCAAAATCCATATAAAACAGGTACAATTCGTTGAGAATTTTAACGTAATTGTTTGAAACATTTTGCCCATTCCACAAATGACCGCCACTGTTGAAAATTGAGCCTGCGGTGCCTCAGTGGTTTGTCGAGTTTGCGTTTATGAAAAACAAAAACACTACAAAGACACAACTGCCCATTTTATAACACTGGCACTATCGACCAGTGTAATAATTCATAAGCTTATTGGCAAATCATGTCAACCATAATATGTCACGTGAAGAGGCTTTATACCTGATAAAACTCATCTTCGTTAGTATTCTTTATATAAAAGTCCATCCTAATTAGTATTCTTTACATTAAGAATACTAATGAGACGGCATTTATTGTAGTCGTGTATTCTATAGGTTCTATAGGTCAAAGTACTCCCAGCGGCAAGGTCTTGCACGTGCATCGATCGGGCTATAAAATATGGCCAAGCATCAACGTGGCGCGTGCGTGCGAATAAAACCCCGATATTTTGAAAAATTCAAAATAAATATTTCTACTCTGTGCCGTATTCAAACTAAACTTTGTACATGAAAGCGCTTGAATACAAGACGTATTTTATTCACATTGACTCTGAACAAATTTCTTAGAGTTTAGAAGATATTCAAGTTTTTTTCTCGATATGAAATACAGAATGTTTGGCCAAGCCAAGCGGTAAGTAAATATATGATTGTTTTGGTTTGTGTAATGTTTTGACGGCATTTGCTCCCCCCCCCCCTTCCCGAGCAGGATTGCAATGGTGCTTTTCTTTTTAAAGGGGGGGGGGGGTAAATGCTCGCTGAGATATTTGCAATTAGAAACAATAAAAATCGTAAAAATGTAAAATTTTGAATTGGGGCGTGACGCGAAATTAACCCATTTACAGGCAAAAACAGTAAATACTAAAGTAGGATGCATTACCAGCTAATGGGTTAATAAAAGACATTGGCAGATGTGTTTGTTAAACCATTTACTGACAGTACTTTAATTTACCACTGACAAGTAAAATCGTCTGGCGGTACACGGTGTAAATTTGTCTGGCATTAGTCAGAGTTATTACTGAAAGTAGTGTGCATTGCCAGCTAATAGGTTAGTAGACCTTAATATCCACTTTTGACCCAATGGCCTCATTTTCATGTTGGTTATTTACTCGTATTCCGTGCACACAATTTAATAATAAGCTTGTGATTGAGCTTAAATGATGAACGAGAAACAAATTTGTGCAGCAAACATATGGGATATAACCTACATGTGCTACCAACGATGAAACGTGGAAATGACGCCATTGGGTCAACAGTAAACTTTCCTTTGGAGAATTGTTTAGAAATACAAATTTTTGCATTCAGTTCATATGCAAAAAGGCAGCACTTTCCTTGCGGTAGTAACCCTAGTTATAGATTTGCACCATAGGTCTCCCGAAAAGGTTTTTATTTTTTTCAAAAATCCATAAAATATGCTTGCGGTTTACGACTTATATTCTTGTCTACTGCACCATAAGGCCTACTCTGGAGCGGTAAATCGCCGTGAGATAATGCGATTTTGGGCGATTTTAGGCGATTTAAGGAAAAACTGGGACTTTCAAGCACTGTGATTTAATGCGATTTTAGGTGATTTAAGGCGATTTAAGAAAAAATCTTAAATTTTAGGGATTGCAATTTAGGTGTTTTCAAGGTAATTGAATTTTATATTTTGCCCCGGTTTCCTCCCACAGGGCAAAATTGTCAGGATGGGTTAGGATAAACACAGTTAGGAAAGTAATATCATAT